TAAAATTTTTGCACTAAAAATTTATTGTAAAATAATTTTATAATTATTAAAAAATTTAATAATATCATTAAAATGATCTTAACTCCATTGAAAAAAAATAGCTAGTTTCTGTAAAGTAATAATGATGATAGTGATGATAATAGTAATGATAGTAATAATAATAATAGTGAGGATAATAGTGATAATTATAATGAGGATGAGGATAATAGTGATAATTATAATGAGGATGATGTAGTAATAATGATAGTGATAATGATAATGAAAATAATAGTGAGGATGATAAAGAACAAGAAGAACAAGAAAGAGTAATAACAGAAGAACAAGAAAGAACAATAGCAAAAGAAATAAGACTAGCATTAAAATACAAAGAAGATATTCATAGATTTTATGATAGTTCTTAGATTGGAGATTTTTATGATTTATCTGAACCAGAAGAAGAAGAAGAAAAACTTCAAAAAACAATACCTTTTTATACTTTATCAGAAATATATTCAAAAGGGAAGTCAGGTTTAACTCAATTATTAGAAAATGCAACTATTGAATCCTTAGCAAGTTTTATGAATATTAGTGAAACAAGTAAAACAAGTAATAAAGAATCTAAAAAAAAAAGTCGCATTAGAAGAAGAACAACAACAATTTGAATCTGAAAATAGTTTAGATAGTAATAATAATGATGATAAATCTAAAAAAAAGAAAAGAAAACTTGATAAAGAAAAAGAACAAGAACAAGAGATTGCATTTGAAATTGATAATGATAATGAATCTATATATCAACAATCTAATGATAGTGATAAAGATAGTGATAAAAATTTATCAAAAATTCAAAAAACACACAAATGAACAAGAGTATCTATAAGGGAGTTTGTAGTATATAGGTTTATGATTAGAAACTCAAATAAGGAAAAAAGTATTCTGCATCGTTCAAGCAGATTATTTCAACAATATATAGTAAATCAATATGTAAAGTGGGAAATAATAGATTAAGTATTATCAAAATCAAAAATTATTAAGATTAGAAGTTTATCAAGGATTAAGTAATATGACTTCTGAAGAAGATGCTAATCTTAATCAAATTGGTCAAAGAAAAATAT